CACCGATAGAATAGACCAATTAACTTTATAATAACCCTGTATTTACAGACTAGTAGAGTGGAAAGAGCAGCAATACTTCTTTCTTCCCAATACTGGGAAAAACAATCATTACATTAAGTATAACCCTACATAAAATAACAAAATCAGTACTGCTCACCAAAGTCTTTGATTAAAAACTGTTTTTAAGAATTTGTGTGCGTACTGGAGGGATTTATACAATTTTACAATAAATTTATAAGAAGAAAAAGTATTTTTACTATCCAGTTTGTAATAAAAAACTTTTTACTTCAGTTAACGTTTCGCCATTGCGTCTTCTTCAGAGCTAGTAGTAGTCTTTACTTCTAGCTTTATTGTTAAAATATGAAAAAAAAAACCTGCTCTGATTTTTTTAGCGCGGACTAGTGGTTAAAGTTTTGTTATATACTAAAAATAGTCTTATCATTTGTGGGTAAGGTTTTTGAACCACAAGTGAAAACAATAGTGATTAATAGCAGGGACTTCGTGGACATTTTTTTTAAATCTTTTTTTTCACAGATTGAGTACAGCAGACGATTAATCTTCCAGACACAATCTACACTCCTCATTCAGCCACTTAACGTTATCGCTCTTATCTTGATCATAGTATAGGAAACAAATCCACAACTGTTCAAACATCGATTATTACATTCAGTGTTTCTATCCTGATTACATAGATGACAGTGGCAGTGGTCCCAGCTGCATCAGACACGTCACAGCCCGTCGCGTGGCACTTGCTCGAGAGGCAGGAGATGGTTGGATGAAAAATCAAAACCAAAAAAAAAAAAAAAAAAGGTTACAAAAGTGTTTCTTTGTATGCTTGTATCCACCAGCTGTTAAAGCCTGATATCTCGTGATTGGCCTGTTTACTTCACGTGTGTTGTCGTACGTTAACCACACCAAAGAGATCCCAGAAAGAGTTTGTTAAAAGATACCCTCTGTGTATGTAGAGGTTTTGTTTCTTTTTCCTAGGGCTTATGTTAAGAGGAATTATCTTTTAATATTCCACAACATAGAAGTAATCGCGGTACACTTTACATTTTATTTGCTCTGTCTCTATAGAACATTAGTCTTAAGTGCGATATATATAAACATATATATGCGTATCTCATCATAGTAGTCGATACGATACGTATCTAGATACAAAAGTTTTACCAACGGTTTGTTACGAAGTTTGACAGTCTTGTCTGTAATTTATTATCTATATTACTAACATTGTCTTATTTAAGTACTTCACACTTTACAGTGTTTTTTCAAATTCCCAGGTTTGATCAACTAAATGGCAGCTGGCAAGAGAAGTAAAATATAAAAAAGTTAATATCCGTCTATCTATTTTGTTATTGTTAATTTGTTATGTTACTTTGTATGTAATGTTTTTGATAAAATAAATTAAGACAACATGTAGTACTCAATACTCATCTTCCTTTATCATTGATTTTTAGCAAAAATATTTTTTCTATACAAAAGACTTGTAATGTTTACCGAAACTTGCCAAATTTCGTGAAAATACATAAATCGTATCGGACGATGTATCGATACAATCGTCTCACGGCTTCACGATACGATACGAGTATCGTATCGCTGTATCGCCACACCTTTATATATATATATGTACATACACACATGTATTATATAACTAGCACCCCGTGCCCATTTAATTTGGCGCTACTTGTATCGGCACCAGAATTTCTTTTATGACGACAAAAGTTAGATTTTAGAGAGAAAAAAGGCGGAGAGACTGTGATACCCAAATTCTCTTTTTCCTCAGCGTAGGTAGCTCAGTCTTTAGGCAATATACATAGCACGGTGCTTAAATGTGAAATAAAAATATCTTCTTTTAGCCCCCAAGTGGCAAATCTGAGAACGTATAACGCTAAAATTGAATTTTGATACTCGTGGTGGGAAGAACACGGATAGCATTATTGTGTAACTTTGTGATTAACAATAAATACTTTTTTCTTTCGTACAACTTAAGTAAATTCTCTCTGTTTTTCAATTTCGCTTATAGCTCCTTAAGGGCTATTTTCGTTAACATTCCCTAATTTTGAAGTGATAGGCTAGACGGAAGGCAGCTAGTCAATATCACCCACCGCCAACTCTTGGACTACTCTTTACCAGCAAATTATGGGATTGACCGTCACATTAGAAAGTCCTCATTGCTGAAAGGGGAGCAAGGATGGGGGTTCGAACCCGTGATCCTCAGATTTCGAATCGAGTGCCCCAACCACCAGGCCTTCCCAAGCTAAACAAATTCTATGAGAGATGCTATATAATCAAATGGGTATTTCCATGTGAAAAAATAAAAATAAATAAATTTGGCAGGAAAATAAGATTAGTTTTATATGTGCACGAAACGTCAACAAAGCACAGAATACTTATGTCTGTATAACCTTATGCATCGTCAAATCCAGCGTATTTTTTTCTACTTATATAGCAATAAACGTGATAAGAATGAGACCTGGTCCACTTAACTGATGAAGAACGTAGACTTCAGAATTATTGATTTTTCGTTACCGATTTTTTTCTTCTTATGCTATGAAAATTATTACTTCTCTTCTAGGGATACCTGTAATTGGCTAATCGTTAGATAAACAATGTTTGGTATTGGCTAATGGTTCGATAAACAATGTTTCGTATTGGCTAATGGTTAGATAAACAATGTTTCGTATTGGCTAATGGTTAGATGAATAATGTTTCGTATAAAATAGTAACAATGTTTGCTATTGGCTAATGGTTAGATAAACAAAGGAATGATTTATTCATGTTATCCCTTTGGACAGGAACGAACCTCGTAACCAAAGCCGAAAATGGACCCAACAGCTTGTAAACAGAAACAATGGAACTCCACATGACTGCAGCCTATTTAGTGTAGACTTGAATGAACTGAGATCATATAAAAACATTTTCCAAAAATGTAGACCTGGCATGGCCTGGTGGTAGGGCACTCGACTCGCAATCTGAGGATCACGGGTTCGAATCCTCGTTACCGAACATACTCGCTCTTTCAGCCGAGAGAGGGGGGGATTATAAAGCAACGGTCAATACCACTTTTCGTTTGTAAAAGAGTAACCCAAGAGTTGGCGGTGGGTGGTGTTGACTAGCTGCCTTCTCTCTAGTCCGTCACTGCTAAATTAGAGACGGCTAGTGCAGATAGCCCTCGAATAGCTTTACTGGAAATTCAAACCAAGCCAAAAACGACTTGTATCACCACATCATAAATGACCCCTAAAAAAGGTGAACTATTTTCAAGCCCGAGTTATTTCGTGAGTTAGTTCGATAATCAATAAAATATTTCTAATAAGTTTGTTTGTTTTGAATTTCGCGCAAAGCTACACGAGGGCTATCTGCACTAGTCGTCCCTAATTTAGCAGTGTAAGACTAGAGCTAGTCATCACCACCCACCGCCAACTCTTGGGCTACTCTTTTACCAACGAATAGTGGGATTGACTGTCACATTATAACGCCCCCACGGCTGAAAGGGCGAGCATGTTTGGTGTGACGGGGATTCGAACCCGCGACCATCAGATTGCGAGTCGAGCGACCTAACCGCCTGGCCATGCCGGGCCCTTCTGATAAGTAAAACGTGTTCCATTATACATCAATCTAGTATTGAAAAGTTTTGACCTAAACGGTCACTTCTATTTATGTAAAAGCCCCCACCAGTGACTCAACGGGAAGTCTTCAGGCTCATGACGCTAAAAATCGGGTTTCGATACCCGTGGTGGACAGAGAATAGATAGCCCATTATGTAACTTTGCGCTTATCAACAACCTAACTAATATTTGTGAAAAATCCATATCAACATTATTCCCGCCTTCTTAGAAACACAAAGTAATTAAAATGTAATTTCAATTTTTATACAATTTATTATTGCTATGACACCCAATCTTCCAGTTTACTGTTATGCGAGTCATGCAGCTGACTGTCAGTCATGTTATCTGAAATGCAGATGGTTGATATTCAACATATGTTGTTATAGCAGTTTCACGCAGTTTTACACCAGGTGTTTGTGATCCATAGCTAGACCTCATATAATACATTTGTGTGTTTAAATTATGTGGAGAACCATTGGATGGATGGAAACCGGCCAATCAAATTAATTTGTTGTGAGTTGTTCACAAGTCGGCCCAGCATGACCAGGTGGCTAGGGCGCTCGACTCGCAATCTGCGGGTCGCGGGTTCGAATCCCCGTCACACCAAACATGCTCGCCCTTTCAGCCGTGGGGGCGTTATAATGTGACGGTCAATCCCACTATTCGTTGGTAAAAGAATAGCCCAAGAGTTGGCGGTGGGTGGTGATGACTAGCTGCCTTCCCTCT